CTAGGGCAAGTACCATGGAATCCATGTACATAAATTGCTCGTAATTCCAAACAAGGTGATTGGAGCCAGTCAAACGGCGAAATGTTTTAAATGGATAATAATATGTCATATTAACCTTTCTAGCACGTTAATATTGATATTGATATTTTGATCTTGTTGATAATCTGGCTTGTCTGGTTGCCCTAGTAAAAGCTTAGAGAATGTCGTCTTATCTTTGTGAATCAACTTCATATAGTTCCTTTGGACTCGGCATTAAATTTGCTTACGTCAGAGTGGGCGGGAAAAACAGATATATTTTTAACCTACGGTAAACACCCGCACCTATGATTTCAGGGTTCAGGCTGATCATGTTCTTATTTACAGGGAGTGAATCAGCCTAAAAATGTCTTTAAGTAATGATCCGGGTATGGTGGATAGCAATTTCTTTTGTTATGCGGCAACGGTGCTTTCCCCACATAGGAATGTTCTCATTTTTACACAGAGAATGCATAAACCTACTTGGAGGCCGTTTACGCAATAAAATGCATTTACACTCCACTTTCAAAGGGTGTTTTTTTGTGTTAAAAGATTTTGACCAATCACAAGAGTTGAAAACAATAGCCAAGAAAAGTTAACAATTCTACATGTTCCCCACATAAGATTTCTTTGTTATTCAAACTGAGACCAGATTTTGTTATATGGAAGACGGTTGGAAAGTAAGGATGTTTATATGTATTGCTTTATGAAGTTTTGATAACTTTTGCTGTTGAAGCCAATCAGAAGTAAGTACAGACAATAGAAAAGTTAGCACCTTTCTTGCATTCCAACATGTTCGTTGCCGCTGTTGCTATCGTTCTTATCTGGACCGTTTCTTAAAGTGTTCTTAAAATTTCTTTATTACAAGAGGTTAAACTAACATACAATGTTCTATTACCTACTCTAAAAAATAAATTTCAAAACTAAATACATGCCATGGCTATAATATAAGTAAACATTAACAACATGAACAACTCAACATCAAATTGTTAAGTAGTTTTAACATTTGTGTTCATCTCTTAATTCACAAGACAAGCGGCCCCTGAGTTTGTATGGACGTCTAAGCACATCACAGTACTTTAATATGAGCACTGTTACTGTTTTGGTTTTTTATTCTGGCATCGTCTTTCTTTTTATATAAGAACATGTTTTATTTATCAGGCTGAATTGTCTCTTATACATATTGTGCTTTATTGTCCAACTTTATGCCTGGTGTCCTTAATCCGCTTGCTCTTATATGCGGGTGTTTACTGTATTAAAAACTTGGAGTTATTTTTATTCATATAAAAATATAACATTGCCAAAAGTAGACGAAAAAAAGGAACAACACCGAATTACAGTGCCCTACCCTGCGAGGAGAGGCTACATTTTCGCGGTATGAGTTGACGTGGGAAAAGTAGCCTCTCCCGACAACCGAATAAGTTAAAATTTGGGTTTTTACCTGTTCTTGACCGGTTTAGAACATTGCGTGAGTCTTGCGTCAGCGAATGAACGCTGACCATTATTGCGCCTTCATGCATCCCTTCGCGCCAAATTCTCGCGTACGAACGCGGCCCCTGTTTACGTATTTAAAAGAGCGTCGTCAAGTTGAATAAGATCTGTATTTTAAAGCTGTCGGAATACCAAAACAAGCTGCTGCCGGTGCTTCTTACGCAGGGGCGGATCTAGGGGGAGGGTGCAGGGGGTGCACCCCCCCCCCCGGAGATGACCTGCGGTTTTCTAATACAACTGGTATTCTGCAAAAAAAACTATGTGGTTTATTGGAAGAGACGAGTGCACCCCCTCCTAAAAAAAATCCTGGATCCGCCCCTGTTACGGGAGCGAAGACGTGCTAAAGATAGTTAATTTATCATATGGTAGCTCTTGTTTGCCAGGAAAAGAAAATGAATACTGCGGTGACTTTTGTTGCGTCGCATCTCAATGCTGAATGCACTGTTTTAAGACACAGATAGGAACCGGCCGGAAAGTTCAAAAGAATCATCGATCAGTTAGTGGAAAACGAAGAAAAGAAGCTTTTAGCCAAACACTTATTTGTCCTCAAGGACTTCAAGCCGGTTGGGTTCTTGACGGGCGGAACGCTTGTCCTGTTCTGAAAAGAAACCCATGTGGCAAAGTTTTTAACGAATTTTCAGGTACGACTTGCACATAAATGGTCAAGGAAGTTCCATTTTTAAATGAAAATTTAAGTATTTATAGTTGTTTCATAGATGTCTTATACGACTTGAGACGGATTTTGGCGTTGCATTTGCATTGATGTCTTCGGCCGCTTTTAAATGAGTGAAATGTTCCACGATCCAGTTAGTATTACGTGAATTGCTTTTAAGGATAAAATTATAGGTTTTCGAATAAAATTTCTAAATAAATAATTTCTCTGACTACTGTTTTGTCTATGTTCATTCATAACATTAGTTTAAAACACAATCGTGAGACTACAGCATCCAATTTATTTCAATAACACTTCTGCGTAATGTTTAACATATTTGCGAGAGAAACCGTCGTAAAGTGACCCTTGCATGTCGATTGTATAGGTTGGCGGATGATGTCAAAGGGTTTTGTGGTGGTGTATAAAAACCAAAACCGCAATATACCGTCTTACCTCTCAACATACTCATCAAAAACGTTGCAGTGGCCCACCGAAAAGTGAATTTGAACACTGTTCTCTCTATTGTAAAATGACTGAAAAACGGCAGGGACCAACACAGGTGTCCCTTTTAGAGAGGTGTCCGTCTTATGAAAGTGTCCATTAACAGAGAGTTGACTGTACTCACAAAACGAGTATGCGGTATCATCAGCCAAGGTGATACATCCGTTAATACAACAAAAACTATGACAACAACAACCTATACCGGGAAGGGAGGGACACAAGACGTGTGTTATTCATTGCTGAGCCCCCCTCCCCCCTTTGGGGGGGGGGGGGGGGGTGTGATTTCTTTTGTTTTATTCCCCCAAGCCTCGTACTGTAGTCAAGTGTAAGTTTTCGTATATCGAAATTGGTCGATTATCAACGCGATCAGATATGATTATAATGATTATGAAGGTGATATTAATCGAATAACAACAATTATGATAATAACACAATAATATACATAATACATTCCAGTTAACAGAGTTTAAGTGAAGAACTAACAGCCTTTTTTTCTGCTAGAAATCGGTTATGTTACGTTTGGATAAGCATTGCAGGGTCTGCTCGGTGAGTTAATCAACGACTTGCAGGCGCAGTTTTGTGCTAGTATTTATTGTTACACGAAATGTTGTTAGCACCCTACAATATTTTGCTTTTAATGGTTATCAATCTGGGTGATCTTATTGTTGTTATCATAAGGTAGTTTGAGATTTTTAGATGCCCTTCTTGCTTACGTAGATACACTGTATACAGCTCTTTCGGCATGTTTGATAATATCTTAATTAACCCTTTTTCTTTCATTTGTGCTAATAACCGATAAAACGGCCAAACAGCTTAAACGTCCATAACACCAGCACAAACTAAACCCACATCTTGAACGTTTCATGGGCAGATACAATAAGTTGTTCTCTTCCATTGGCTCATAGTATTCTGCTTCTCACAGTCAACGCTATCGTGGGCGTTTTGGGATCACTGGGAAACTGGCTTGTTTGTTTGGCCATTGCTACAAATTCCCGCCTACGCCGATCTTCCAGCTACCTTCTGTTCAGCTTAGCAATCGCTGATCTAATCGTCACCTTGATATGCGAGCCAATCGTTCTGGAGTTCATCAGCCGGTTAACCTTCTTCCACAAGAGCAGAACGAGCCAGGAAAACTTGTGTACCACGTTTTAGTCAGTCTTTCATGCCAGACTTCATTCTTCCATTTGGTTTCGATCAGAATTGATCGTTTCGTTGCCGTTGTATTTCCAGTGCGTCACAAAATCTTCATGGAAAAAGGCGGACTTAAGGTTATGCTCGTAGCATCATGGTCCCTTCCGATTCTTACTTCCGTTTTATCCAATATCATTCCGACTTGTTCCACTCCCGTCTTTGGTCTTATCGGATTTGTAATCTTTTCCTTCAGCGGTTTTAGTATTTTCTTCCCTTTCACTTCCTGATTGTGGTAGTTCTGCTCCACCACGGGAAGAAAACAAAGCAGCTAACAGCTCGAACAGTTTCTGTGAAAGTGGTTACCCGCTTGGAAGTCCGTGTTACTTGCACACTGGCTATCGCAACAGGCGTCAACACCGTTTGTTGGGTTCCTGTAATGACTTTGTATGCCATTGAAAAATGGCAAAACAGCCCTCTACACTTTTGTCTCACAACCCTGGCGCTATAAAACTCAGCCATGAACTTTCTGATTTACTCTGCTAAAATTTGGAACTTCAAAGATGCATACGTGGAAATCTTACGAAAGATGCTTCACCTGTAGAGTGCTTGCCTTTCACTACAGTTTCAAAATTTGACAAACTAATAGAAAGTTGTACTCGTAATTAATCCCAATTATGAAAGGGTACTTCCTGTTTCGGAACTCTTGCCCGGCGTTATACGCACATCAAACTGGCCTGGCTAGTACAAGAAACCTGCTTCCTGACATGAATGAATCGATGTCAAACAAGGAAACCAAACAATTTGTTCGTTATAAAAGAATGACTTGGGGCAGTAAATGTTTCCCAGAAATTTCAATAGCTCTGAAAAGACTTAAATTTCGTTCTAAGGGCCTGTTTACATGGAGCAGGAGGACCCCAGACAGGTGAGGTAACAAGTGGCGGATCACCGCACCTATCATGTAAACGTGATCAAATTAAAATGATAGATTATATGGACAGGCAGGTTACCCCACCTAAAAGGGTTACCTCGCCTACCTGGGGTCCCCCCCTACATGTAAACAGGCCCTAAGTGTCTGTCTGTTCCAAGTACGAATGGTTTTCGAAGCTTTTCTATTCCTTAAATCCCTGAGACTTTGGGGAGCAGACGTTTTACATTGTAGTCCCCGGATTTGGCAACTATCTCGAAAAAGGATCCGTGGATTTTCTAAGTTTTCAGTCGAATATACATCTTCGGAGACCCAGGGGCGGTCAGTTGGGTCGCGAAAAACGGAGACGAAAGTTTTCAAGAACGGGTGAGAGAGCCCTTGGGATGCTACATTTGACGAACTAGTTCCACGATTCATTCGAATGCTCTCTAACTGGCCAGCACAGTCTATCGTGCTGCTCTAGTGATCTTCTAATAAGAAGGAGTTTAACTGTAAATTCGACTGTTTGCCGTACCTATCTGGCTCGTACACGAGAGCTTTCTTCAAGAAGAGTTTTCATAATTTAGCATGTTAGCAAAACAGAGATGCATGAACAAGTCTAGAAAGAACTCTGTTGTTTACGAATTTACCTTCGATCAGTCCACAGTCTAATTTCTTCGGTTGGTGCATTCTTTCGCACGGTTTTGTTTTGTTGTGCTAACATGCTAATAATGTCTTCGTTTTTGGTGGGGGGGGGAGAGGGGGGGGGGCATGTTCACTAAAAACTTCCCTCGACGAAAACTACACTACCCGGGCAGGCACAGCGAACAGACGGGTTTGAGGATAAACTTCTTCGTATAAGAAGATCACGAAAGCAGCGCGATAGATGCTGGCCTCCGAACCAATCAGAGACAATTATTGGCATGAGTCGTGGAACTGGTTGGTTAAGAGTAAGATCCCAAGCGGTCTCTCACCCGTTATTGAAAACGTTCGCGCCGTTTTTCCTGACCCAACTGACTGCCCCTGGGTCTCCAAGGATGTCGAAAATAGTGAAACAAGGAGGTATCAGATATTCTTACGTTTTCTTCATAGCGTTTCGTATAAAATGATCTAAATTCATTACAGTTAAATCAATAATAATAATAACCTTCTCCCGTTTCATATTTTCTGCTTAGACCCTTTTAATACGGCACGCGCATAGCAAGAAAAGAACGGGAGAAGACAGACCACTATCAGGTCTTAAAAAGTGAAATGCAAAAGATCTGGAACTTCAGAAGTGTATCTGTCTATCTGTCACCCCTATTTTAAGGTTGGCTCTTTGGAAAACACCTAAGGATGTGGCTTAGCAAGCTGAAACGCCTGAGATCATTGCATTACTCCAGAAAGCTTATTTCTTAAGAAATAGAAAACATTGTGATTTGATAAACAATCGTACCCAAGCCTTTCACGTTTTTTGCTCAAGCCCTAACAGTTGTAGTGACTTACAACAGGCAACTGAGGTAGTATATGTTTTGAATAATAAATTGGTAAAATTTATGCAGTTGACTGGTACTTATTCTCACTCAATTTCGCGAAAATCATGAGTCATATTTCGCGAGTATGAAATTTCGTGATGTTTCTATTCTTTAATATTTTAAGTGACAATAAGGTACATTCGTTGATAAAACAATAACAAAAATACAGGTGTAAAATAGTGCCAATTTTCAGATACAAAAAACTCACTCACTCAAAACACTTTCAAGAGAATGTCATATATACTAAAGGACTATAACAATTGTACATCCCGTTTACAGGATAGTGACACTTTGTTAACAGAATACATCACAGTCTGTGTCTCTGTCAAATTGTCTCAAAATATAACAAAATTATGTCCATGTGTCAGTGGAAGTAAAATTTTAGCTTGCTTTCGTCGATGAGATGGTCGCTCTTGAATGCAAAGAAGGTCCTTGTGTGACCTTTTGTTTTGTCCAAGCGTATGGCATTCTCCTTTGCGAAGGACGTTGACTTAAGTATTGTAATAAATAATGTCCAAAATGACGCTTACTGCCTTTGCAAATAAGCACTGTTCAAGTAATCTGAGAGACAAGACGACAACTACAAAAGTAAATTTGTCAATCAGAATTTACAAGGAAAGAAAAGCGGGGCTACTTGATGGTAAGTGCAATTTTATTTTGTATAGTCAGAGAGAGGAAGAAAATTTTCAATCCGCCGGAGAAAACGTCAACATACCACTCTTTGCAAGACGAAAGAGCGATTTTCTTACAACTATATGAGGCTAAGAGAGATATTAAACTTTCAACTGACAGGAGAGAAATACTTAATGGAATGCACAACTAGCACACACAAAATAACCCGAGAAAATATCCCAGGACATATGTGAAAGTGTACATGCGCAAAACATTGGGTCAGAAACTTGTAAAGTAACTTGCAGAGCGAACTAAACAAGACTTTAACACGGAGATAATTCTTGGCTGATTTCGCGACAATCTAAGTGCTGGCCAAAAGCTGTGCAGAATTAGTTTCGACCCAGCATTGAGTGGCCATATCAGTTCTGCGGTTTTGCACAAGATGAGCCTTTTTTGTGATACTGAATAAGAATATCGATGTATTAGTTTGTCTGGGATCACCACACATGCTCTTTGCCATTTGCATTCTCAGACTAAGACATCGGCTTTGATAAATCATTCATTTGAGTCCCCAAAATAATATATACTTTTTAATTCGAAATACAGTTAACGCAGCAAAACATAAGTTAAGGCGATTTTTCGTAGAACATTTTTTTTAGCTTAAATTATACATAATAAAAGCTTTAAATCAACTGCTGACTTCAGTGCCATGAAAAGATCATTAAAAGACTTACGAGTGTGGTTAAGGGAAGGTGGAATCAGTAGTTGAAGGCAATTAAAGTTGACTATCTGACTATCTGACTATCAGGTGAAACTCAAAGAGGGTGACACGCTTAACGGTCGAGGTTTTACGCCTAATTTTCACTACTGAGCGACACAAACACAAGGGCAGACACAAGTCATCATTTAACCCGGAAAACGGCCTAGACGCGCGAGCAAGGTACACGTTTTCGCGTAATCTCCTATACATAAAGTCAAAATAAAAGAAAAAGCTCACTTCACTGTTTTAGGAGAGAGGGCATCCACAATAGACTGCTTTTGTTTGATGGGACTCCTACTGTAATTAAATCGATATTTATGTATCGTTCCGGACAGTATACAAAGAATTAATACATGGTGATAACAAAGTCCACCCGCTGATATTACTGTGCTTCGGATAGGTCATTTGTGAGTACACTCTCTGTTAACCTCTTTCTTTCCTCGCAGAAAACGTCTCAGTTGCAAGGATTAAGAGTTCCCGATTTCAGCAAAAAAAGCGCAAAAATGGGAGAAATCAGCAAAGAACCAAGAACGAAACTGTTGTTGGCATCAGAGGATCTCTACGAGATCTCGTCAGCAAAAATAACACATGTAGGGGTACACCAAAGCTAAATAACAATAATAATGTATCGATAATTATACAGAATAACATGTAATATTAGCCTTTTTAGCACGTTATAATATTGATGTAGTATTGATATTCTGTTCTTGTTGATAATTTGGCTTGTCTGGTTGCCGTAGGAAAAGGTTATAGGATGTCTCTTTATCTGTCTCAATAGACTTCATATAGGTCCTTCGAGCTTATCATAATAAATTCCTTGTGTCACAGGGGGCGGGAAAAACAGGTATATTTTTAACCTACTTCAAACTTGGAGTTGTTTTTATTCATAATGCTGCCAAAAATGGTAGACGAATAAGGAACAATACCAGATTACAGTGCACATATATTGTTAAAATGACAGAAAGCCTTTACTATAGCTCCACTGACTACCACAGTAGTAGTCTATTCGCAATAAATGTAAATTGCTGTACATAAATGAGGAAGAAACATGAAAAGCCTTTTTTTTATTGATTAGTCAATCCATTTATGTTTCATTGGTGTAATCAGGTGCATAAGTTTCGCCCTAGTCTACTTTCCTAAAGGTATCAATATATTATAACAGCCATGCTTGTCGTATCGGATAAACAGCCAGAATGATAAACGATGGACTGTCTTGTTTTAGTTACAAACATTAACCACAAGGGACCGCAAACGAATATGCCAAAGAACGTAGGATCTACAAAGATAATAATAAGATAAATAATAATGTAGACATATTAAATTCTGCAAGCAGAATACTGCAATGCTGATCGCCCGAAGACACGTGGTATGGCGTGATTCTGTGGGTGTTAAGAGTTCTGGGTCAGAGCTAAAATAAGAGTGCACGGATATTTTTCATCAGAGCCTGATCTCTGGTTGTTACGCCATACTTACGAGCCCCAAAGAGGGCGAAACAGCTGTCTATGGCTACAATCCGGCTCTGTTTTGGGTTCTTTCGGTGTCGTGTTGATGTCTTGCAGAGTTAATTTCCACGTAGTACTATCAGCATTGAAGAATTCTGCTTGCAGAATTATATGTCTTTTTTTAATTGTTTTGATGAACTGAATATCGCTCGGAGGTTAAAAATAAAGCCTGTGAGTGATTTAATCTTGACCTCGAAGCAGATAGATTGAGTCAACACTGCACTGTCGCTATTTAGGCCAATTCAGTTATAGAAGAATTATTAAAACTCACACTTGTCTACAAGGCTTGAGATAATAAAATAAAAGANCTTTCGGTGTCGTGTTGATGTCTTGCAGAGTTAATTTCCACGTAGTACTATCAGCATTGAAGAATTCTGCTTGCAGAATTATATGTCTTTTTTTAATTGTTTTGATGAACTGAATATCGCTCGGAGGTTAAAAATAAAGCCTGTGAGTGATTTAATCTTGACCTCGAAGCAGATAGATTGAGTCAACACTGCACTGTCGCTATTTAGGCCAATTCAGTTATAGAAGAATTATTAAAACTCACACTTGTCTACAAGGCTTGAGATAATAAAATAAAAGAAGTGTATTATTCATTGCTGAGCCCCAAGGTTTTTTTAATTATTATTTCTTCTTCTTCTTCTTTTTCTTCTTTTGTTTTATTCCTCAATGCTAAGGGGTCAAGGGTGAATTTCAAGATACACCGAAATTGGTCTATTGTTATTAACTCAACGAGATATGATTATAATGATAATGAAGGGAAAAACGATAATCATGATAATAACAAATTAATCAATAATCCATCTCAGTTAAAGTTAAGAACTCAGCAACAGCGTTGCGTGGTCTGCTCGGCGAGATAAATTAACGACTTGCAGTTATGGACTATACCATTTAATATTACACGCAATGTTGTTAACAAACTAACATCAATATTTTGGTCTTAAATGGTTATTAATCTGGCTGATCTTGTTGTTATCTTTCGGTAGTTTGAGAGGTTTAGGTGCTTTTTCTTGCTTACGTCGAAAGACTGTATATAGGTCTTTTAGCATGCTTGATAATAACTTGCTTGGCCCTTTGTCTCTCATTCGTGCTTATAATAATCCAGGCAAAGAGCTAATGCTACATTTGAGACGTCCATGGTATCAACAAACTATACAGACAACATGAACGTTTCATCAGCAAACAGTTGTTCTCTTCCAATGGCTCATGGTATTCCACTTATCTTAGTCAACGCTATCGTTTGCGTTTTGGGAACACTTGGAAATTTGCTTGTTTGTTTGGCCATTGCTACAAACTCCCGCTTACGCCGAGCCTCCAACTACCTTCTATTCAGCTTAGCAATCGCTGATCTAATCATCACCTTCGTATGCGAGCCAATCGTTCTGGAATACATCAGCTACCTAACATTCTTCCACGAGTGCAAAAGAAGCCCGCAACTACGTGTGTACTCCATTTCTTCTGGTCTTTCATGCCAATCCTCAGTCTTACATTTGGCGGCAATCAGTCTTGATCGTTTCATTGCCGTTGCGTTTCCACTGCGTCACAACATCTTCATGGAAAAAGGCGGACTAAAGGTTATGCTCATAGCATCATGGTCCATTCCGATTCTTACTTCCGTTTTACCCAACATCATCAAGATTCCGACAAGTTCCACACCCGTCTTTTATTTTATCAGAATTGGAATCTTTGTCTTTAGCGGTTTAAGTATTTTCTTTTTTCACTTTCTGATTGTGGTAGCTCTGCTCTACTACAGGAAGAAAACAAAGCAGCTGAGAGCTCGAACCGTTTCAGTCCGGGTCACTTGCACACTGGCTATCGCAACAGGCGTCTTCACCGTTTGTTGGGTTCCAATAATTACTCTGCTTGCCGTTGACAAATGGCGGAGAAGCCCTCTACACTTTTGGCTCCAAACTCTGGCTCTGTCAAACTCAGCCATGAACTTTGTGATTTACTCTGCTAGAATGCGGGACTTCAAAGATGCATATGTTGGTATCTTACGCAAGATGCTCTGCCTGTAGAGCGCTTGCCGTTCACTACAGTTTCAAGATCTGACAAACTTCTGAGAAAGTTGAGCCCGTAGTTATATAATCGTTATCGTTATTATAGGTAAATGCTGCCCAGAAAAGAAAATAGTTCTAAAAAGACTTAAAAGTTTGAAGTGTCAGTTCCATTCACGTATGATTTTCGAAGTTGTCCAATCACAAATCCCTGAGATTTTGGGGAGCATACCCGTAACGTTTTTAGTCAAAAATAGTGAAGGAAAGAGGTATCAGAAAATCTTACGTTTTCTTAATAGTTCGTTTGAAATAATCTGAATTCATTAGACTTAAAAATGACAAAAATAATAATAATGATAATCTTCACTCGTTCATTTTCTGTGACCCTTTTGATAAACTCTTAGCGGAAAAAGAACGCAGGCAGAAGGACGACCACTATCAAGAATAAAAAGTGAAAGTGCAAAAGATCTGGAACTGTAAAAGTATTTCTGTCATCCCTATTAAGGGGCTCTTAAGACTGTAAGTTAACACCTAAGGATGTGGATCAGCAAGTTGTGGATCAGCAAGATATTTAGAAGGACCCTAGTACACCTAAGGCTATAGGATGTCCAAAAATAAGAAAGTATCATAGGCAAGAGTTACATTTATACCCTTTAAATTTCGTTAATTTACCAAATAAGTTCTAGTATTAAATGTATTTAATAAATTCCTTAGTTTGTCCTCTTAAGCTGACTCCACTTTACTGTTTTATTCACACTAAAACAAAACTGTGTGTCCAACAAAGGTGAAATCAGGGTGAAATTAATTTTGCTCATTTATGTTATATCTTGTGCTTTATCAACATTGCCTACAAGGGTTAAAACAACGATAAGAAACTCTACCAGCTGATATTTCTGTGCTTCGGATGTTCTCATTTTCTGAGTACGTTTTCTACTGAGCTCCAATTCTTTCTTTACGGAAACTGTCTCAAAAGTAAAATAACAAGTACCGGATTTTGAGCGAAAGAGCGAAGAGCCGAAAACGAAACTCTGTTGGTACACATAGGATCTCTACGAGATCTTGTCCACAAAATAGCACATATAGGGATACACTGAGATGGACAAAATATAATAATATATCAGCGGCCAACCAGATTATTATACAGCGTAGCGTTTGTATTATTTCTAGTGAATGACGTGAAAATGATATGAAGAATTATGCAGATTGATGACGAGAAAGCTATCTTGCTGTTTACTTCCTTGTTTCCAGCGCCTGAAACAGGGTTGTTGGATGCCATATCTGCCTGGAAACGAGGCTGCTAGGGCATGTACCATGGAATCCATATACATAAATTGCTCGTAATTTCCAAAAAAGATAAGCGCCAGCTAGTTATCAAAAATTAGCGGAGTGACTGGAGCCAGTCAAACGGCGAAATATTTTAAATGGATAACAATATGTCACATTAACCTTTCTAGCACGTTAATATTGATATTGATGTTTTGATCTTGTCGATAATCTGGCTTGTCTGGTTGCCCTTGCAAAAGCTTAGAGAATGTTATCTTATCTTTGTGAATCAACTTCATATAGGTCCTTAGACTCGATCGGCATTAAATTAAATTTGCTTACGTCAGAGTGGGCGGGAAAAACAGATACATTTTTAACGTACGGTAAACAACCGCGCCTATGATTTCGGGGTTTAGGCTGATCATGTTCTTATTTACAGGGAGTGAATCAGTCTAAAAATGTTTTTAAAGCGTTCTTAAAATTTGTTTATTTCAAGAGGTAAAACTAACATACAATGTTCTATTACCTACACTAAAAAATAAATTTCAAAAATAAATACATACCATGGCTATAATATAAGTAAACATTAACAACATCAACAANGTTTAGGCTGATCATGTTCTTATTTACAGGGAGTGAATCAGTCTAAAAATGTTTTAAAAGTGTTCTTAAAATTTGTTTATTTCAAGAGGTAAAACTAACATACAATGTTCTATTACCTACACTAAAAAATAAATTTCAAAAATAAATACATACCATGGCTATAATATAAGTAAACATTAACAACATCAACAAGTCAACATCAAACTGTTAAGTAGTTTTAACATTTGTTTTCATTTCTTAATTCACAAGACCAGCAGCCCCTGAGTTTGTATGGTCCAGCACACCAGAGTAATTTAATATGAGCACAGTTACTGTTTTGGTCTCTTATTCTGGCATCCTTTTTCTTTTTATATAAGAACATGTTTCATTTATCAGGCTGAATTGTGTCTTATACATATTGTGGTTTATTGTCCAACTTTAAGCCTGATGTTCTTAATCCGCTTGCTCTTATATGCGGGTGTTTACTGTACTACAAACTTGGACTTATTTTTATTCATATAAAAATATAACACTGCCAAAAGTAGACGAAAAAAAAATGAGCAATACCGAATTACAGTGTCCTACCCTCCGAGGAGAGGCTACATTTTCGCAGTATGAGCTGGCGTGGGAAAAGTAGCCTCTGCCGACAACCGTTCAAATCCTTCCAGAAATCTAGACAAATAATTTAAAATTCAGGTTTTTACCTGTTCTTCACTGGTTTAGAACATTCCGTAAGTCTTGCGTCAGCGAATGAACGCTGACCATTATTGCGCCTTCATGCATCCCTTCGCGCCAAATTCTCGCGCACGAACGCGGCCCCTGGTTACGTATTTAAAAGAGCGTCGTCAACTTGGATAAAATCTGTATTTTAAAGCTGTCGGAATACCAAAACAAGCTGCTGCCGGTGCTTCTTACGAGACGTGGTAAAGATCTTTAATTTATTATATGGTAGCTCTTGTTTGCCCGGAAAAAAAATGGATACTGCGTTGACTTTTGTTGTGTCGCCTCTCAATGCAAGGCTGAATGCACTGTTTTAAGACACAGATAGGAACCGGAAAGTTCAAAAGAATCATTAATCAGTTAGTGGAAAAAGAAGAAGAGAAACTTTAGTCGAACACTTATTTGTCCTCAAGGACTTCAACATGGTTGGTTTCTTCACGGTGGATCGCTTGTCCTGTTCTCAAAAGAAACCAAAGCGGCAAAGTTTTTAACGAATTTTCAGGTACAACTTGCACATTAATGGTCAAGGAAGTTCCGTTTTTAAATGAAAATTTAAGTATTTATAGTTGTTTTATAGATGTTTTATACGACTTGAGAAGGATTTTGACGTTGGCATTTGCATTGATGTCTTCGGCCGCTTTGAAATGCGTGAAATGATATGATCTCTTCCTCTGGCTTAAAAACGTCTTTAACATGAGTGTATTACTATAGGTAATAAGCCTGAAAAAAACTGCCGTTTGAAGTTAAAGTGTGCTCCCTGCAAAAGCAGACAGGACTTACTACAGTTGATAGCATAAAAAATACTTTCCTGAAAAAGACCATCCGTGGAAAGTTTGCAGCTAAAATACTTAAAACCAGAGGGGGCGAAGCAGAAAAACAAAACAAAAGCTCGAGGAGAGTTGTTCGCAAGTAGTTGTCGCAAGTTTGATTCCCGCGAAACTCACGCAGAGTTACACCATCTTTTCGCCTTTGGAAAAATTGTTACGGATGCATTGATGCTACATATCAAAAGCTGGAAAAATGTTTTAAAACGCTTTTCGGAGCGTTGGTATAACCCATAAACGACTATTCCACCGGCGCGTTTTTACGAAGTTTCATTTCAAAAAACGGTAGTTTCATGACCATTTAAGCAATTAACTTAGGGTGCAAATAAGCTTTCAGAAAGAAAGAAAACAATAAAGCAGCTAAGAGCTCGAACAGTTTCGTTGAAACTCTTTGAAACTGACTACCTGCATTAGAGGTCCATGTTACCTGCACACTGGCTATCGCAGCGTCTTCACCATTTTTGGGGTTCCTCCAATATAATGATTGTACTCAAGTTGTGTTTGCCGCTAAAACACTGAAGCTAAACGGCCCTCTATACATGTGGCTCCAAACTCTGGCTCTATCAAACTCGGCCATGATTTTTCTGATTTACTCCGCTAAAATCGGAGACTTCAGAGGTGCGCGTTTGTTGTCATCGTACGAAAGATTCTCCGCTTGTAGCCGGTGATATAGCTTACCTTTTGCTAAAGTTTCCCGAAAGTTACAAGAAAGTTCTTAGTGAAGTAGTGATTCATTTTAATCTTCATGAAAAGGTTAGCGTTTCAGAAATATCAAGTGCCCATACTTCTTGCCTGACACAACAACTTTCAGTTCATGTAGACGCCGGTCTCACAATCAAGCCTGAAAGGTCCTCCACCACAAGAAACTACATTCTAGCAATGAATCGAGCCGACGTCAACGCCCACAAATTTCGAGAGCGCTAGAAAAACTTAAACTTACAAGCTATAAAATAAAAGACTCTAAAATACTTAAATTTTCAAAGTTTCTGCTTCATTTTCATAACGTTTTTGAAGCATTTCTATCGATTTCCTTAGACTTTCCTCCCTTTTAGCATATTTGTGAGAGAAAACCGTCGTAGAGTGACCCTAGTATGTCGATTGTATAGGTTGGCAGATAATGTCAAAGGGTTCTGTGGTGGTGGATAAAAACCAAAACCGCAATATACCGTCTCACCTCTCAACATACTCATTAAAAACGTTGCAATGACCCACGGAAAAGTGAATTTGAACACTGTGCGTTTATTTTAACCCAGTTACAGCTTGATAAGGTACACAATAAACAAAAAAAGGTCGTGCCAGTGTTTTCCTTTATAACTCGTGGAATTGCCCTCATCAGAACTCGATGGTATTGTTGTAAGAAAGACTGTGCTGAGGGTTTATAATAACACATTAGGTATATACTCCCGTAATTATCATGTTTTACCACTGATACATTATGGACATCTCAATAATAATAATAATAATAATAATAATAATAATTATGATAATAATAACAGTAAAATTCTTATAGAGCGTAGCTACATAATCTCAGCGCGCTTTAGAAATGTAAGAAATAAAATATAAGAAATATACAAACTAAATTAAAATTGATTTAATAAAAATGTTTTGAGCTTTCTTTTAGAGAGAAACAAAGTTTGTGTGTTTTTAATGTCTACTGGCAAGGAATTCCAGGGAGTAGGAGCAGCTACAGAGAAAGAGCGAGCACCGTATGCCTGTGTCTGATGAACAGGTACTACCAATGATAGACCCCTGAATCCAGAACGAAGATTTCTGTTGGGGTGATAAACCTGCAGTAGATCACAAATGTAGGACGGGGCCATTCCACTTAGCGCTTTGTAGGTTATGGTTAGAATCTTAAATTCAATCCTTTTGATAACAGGGAGCCAATGCAAGTTACCGGGAGCCCATAATCCGGAGCAAGCAACTTCCATGCGCTCGAGTCAGGGCGTTTTCACGGACCAGTTTATTTTTAGAATGGTTTTGGTGTGAATTTTGAATATGTTTTAAATTCCACAAACACGTCAGCAAAACCTACAGACTTAAAAATGATATTTTTCCCTGTTAATTAAATTCTGTTTTCCTTTCTGATATCTTACACTTCGAATGCGCTCATAGACATGGTGGAGATCCTATTGTCGCGAGAAAGAGTACCCTAAAATGTGTCTAAAAATAAACTGGTCCGTAAACGCGCCGTGACATAGGCCTAGTATGGGAGTTGCTCGCTCCGGGTTAAGGGCTCCTGAGGTTACGCAATACCGGAGAAATATGCTGAAATTTTTTCGTCTTTGTAGTAGTTCTAGAGCGGCATTTAGAATACGTTGCAATTTATCAAGCTGCTTTTTCGAGAGCCCAAATAGGAGACTGTCTCAAAAGTCAATTTTACATGTTACAAAGGCGTGGACAAGCTTTTCTGCAGTGGTTTGATCTAAGTAATTTCTAATCTTTCCAATATTACGTATCACTAAGGACGCCGATTTGCAGATATTATTGACTTCGGTTGACATGTCAAAGTGTTTATCTAAAACGACACCAAGATCGCATACTGTAGATTCCAATTTGATAGTATTAGCACCAATATTTATAAAGCAGGAAGTTGTTAGAGTACCAACCAATAATGTGGCTTGTACACAATCTTCAATTTTACCGATGGATGTATTTCTATTGCTGAGCCCAATTGTGAGGTAAATCTGACTATCGTCAGCGTAGAACATAGAATGGAGCCCGTGGGAAAGAACAATATGGAGCAACATGTCTCAATGTCTCTCGATGTCCGCCTTGCTTCCTTGCCGGTTGTTACTCTCTCATCGTCTATTCCACAGTAAGGCCTATTTTATGTTAAATCAAGTGCTTTGACCACACTTTCCACAAAGAATACCTGGCGATAACAAACTCCACAAGTTGCAAAAAACAATTATGCATCGGTCATTTTATTTTTGGAAATAAAATATTCTGCTAAGCCTTTGTCTGTACCTTGCAAAACATGCATGAATGCATGCCCCCAGGAGTATAGGCTACCAGATCCCAAGCAAAAAGCAACAATAAGGACTGCGAAGGGAAATACTGTTTAAACACATGAACAATCTCTACGAGATTTAGTCAGCAAAAATATTAATCAATCAAATAAAATAACGTGAATTAATAAACCTTTTTAGTACTTTTGTCGATAACCTGACTTATCTTTTCCTACTTAAAAAGGTAATAATATGCCTTCTTACGTACGTCAGCGGCAAAAACAGATATATTTTTAACTTACTACAAATTTGGAGTCATTTTATAGTTATAGCACTGTTACTAATAGACGAAGAAGAAGACACATCCAATACAGCCTTTTCGAAATCCAGAGCTCCATACCAAGCTACAATTGAACATAAATATTTCACTGAAAACTACAAATGACTGTTCCCTTCCCCTGTCTCAAGGTATTACTTTGATAACAGCCAACGGCATTGTGTCTGTATTTGGTTCACTGCATGGGCAAGTTTGCTTTGCCATTGCCACAAATCCTCGACTTCGTCGAAGCTCAAACTACCTTCTGTTCAGCTTAGCCATTGCAGATTTGACAGTCACCTTGGTATGTGAGCCCTTCCTTTTGGAAATGTTCTACAATCGAACATTTGTTTACGGGTGCAAACCAAACTTGGAAAGACTGTATTCTATTTTAGCCAATCTCTCCTGCTCCGCTTCAGTGGTTCATTTGGCATGTATTAGTTTGGATCGATTTATCACCGTTCTGTTTCCTCTGCACCACGAAATCGTTATAAAGAGATGTGGGTTAAAGATTATGTTGACAGCATCTTGGGCATTCCCAATTTCAGTGCCCATTCTAATGGTTGTCCTCCCACCCTCCTTTCCCAAAGGGTTCTTGGCGATTGCTTCATTTGCCTTCAGCTATTTTGTTGTCATCTTCTCATACCTTTTGATTATGGTGTTCTTGCTCATCCACCAGAGAAAAAGGAAGCGGCTGCGGGCTCGGGCAGCTTCTGTTGATGCACGGTGGCCATTGTCATCGGTGTTTTGACGGCTTGTTGGGTCCAAAAATGACCGCATTGTTTGCTGCCGGTAAATCACCGATGAAGCGAAACTACCCTCTGCATATGTGGCCCCGGACCTTGGCTTTTTCGAACTCAGCCATGAATTTTCTGATTTACACTGCAAGAATTAGTGACTTTAAAGACTCATACGCAGCTATCTTTCGAAAGATGTGCCGCCTGTAGAGTTTGTTCCGAACCTTGCTGATAAACAATTGATGTCGCTAATATGTTTGTGATCTCAAAGATGCAGAACATTCCTTTTGCTATGTCATTAAAAGAACTTTAGTTGCTTAAGGCTACTTACTCATTTTATACAATTATATCCCGTAGTTCTGATTTTTTATTCATTGATTTATTTGATCTCGATCTGAGCAGACTGGTGAGACAAAAGTTGCACTGACTCTGATTTTGGCAGAGTCAGTTAAAATTATTAACCAGCAATATATGATTAGAATGATGCTTATTGGAATATTGATCAAAAAACGAAAACCACAATAGCAATACACAATCACGCCATCCACGTTAAAGTTAAGAACTAATAAGTGCTACTCTTTTACGATGGTTTTATTGCCGGCAGAGTCACGTTCGGATCATTGATATGTTCTGCTCTGCGAGGTAAATAAAAAACTGGAAGGAATATTGTTAGCAAGGTCATATTTTGCCCTTGTAGTTGTCAATCTGGCTGATCTTGCTGAGTCTTCTCATCAACTGATAGTTTGAGAGTTTCAGAATGTCTGTTTCTTGCTTACGTCGTAGACCTGTTTTCGTCATTAGCATCCGGCGCTTATGATAAGCGCTGGGTGCTAATGATAAAGGAGGTATCAAAAATATAACTTGATACCGTTTTTTCGACATGCAGAACACCAGCCCAGATTCCTCGGTAAACTCGATTGGCTGTTCTCTTTCCATGGCACATGGCATTCCACTTATCATTATCAACGTTATCGTCTGCGTTTTTGGAACACTTGGAAACTTCCTTGTTTGCTTGGCTATCGCTACAAACTCTCGCCTACGCCGAGCCCCAAACTACCTTCTGTTCAGCTTAGCAACCGCTGATCTAATCGTCACCATGATAGGAGAGCCACTTCTTCTGGAATTCATCAGCCGGATAACATTCTTCCAAGAGTGTACTGCGAGTCTGCAACAAATTGTGTATTACGCATTAGCCGATCTTGCATGCGCCATTTCGGTCGCGCATATGGTGGCAATCAGTTTCGATCGATTCGTTGCCATTGCGTTTCCATTGCGTCACAAAATCTTCCTGAAGAAAAGGGGACAGAAGGTTATGCTCATAGCATCATGGTTTATTCCGATTCTTGGTGCTACTTTATTCTTCATCATTTCGCCAGCTTCCTCTTCCTACATATCCGTCGGATTTGGAATGTTTGTCTTCAGCTGTTTAAGTATTTTCGTTTTTCACTTCCTGGCAGTGGTATTTCTACTCCACCAAAGACAGACAAGAAAGCAGCTAAGAGCTCAAACATTTTCTTTAAAACTCACCCCTCGCATGGAGGTCCGTGTTGCTTGCACACTAGCTATAGCAACCGGAGTTTTTACCGTTTGTTGGACTCCCCTTATGTCTGCCTTTGCACCTAGTAAACCACTTGTAAAGTGGAACGGCCCTGCACACTTGTGGCTCCAAACCCTGGCTTTGTCAAACTCAGCCATGAACTTTCTGATTTACTCTGCTAGAATGCGGGACTTTCGATATGTATACACCGTTATCGCACGAACGATACTCCGCTTGTAGAGTGCTCGACATTTATACGGGTCAAGAATTCGCAACTAATAACAACTATCACTGTTTTTGTTCTGATGGTAGAGACCGGTTAAGTCACGTTGGGATAACCATGGCGTGAGGCAAATAAAAAATATTCAGTTTGCTCTAATTGCACAAAATATTGTAACCAACATATTTCTCTGTTATGGTTATCAATCCGACTGGCCTATCTTAGTATTGTAATGATTCCGTAGTTTAAGGGTTTCAGAATGGCTGTTTACGTCAGTCGGATTAAATTAATTCAAAGTGCTCCTTAGGCATATTTAATAATTTCTGAGATGGCAAGCAGTAATGTAATTATAACGATCAACTTCTGCCCCTTTTCATTAATGTACGTTAATGACAAACGAATCAAATGCCATTTTTATGACCATGACGAGCTCTGAAACGCGAAAAATTTATTTTATGTAAATTAGCTGACTGCACATGGAATGTGCAGCCAGCTAATTTCCATAAGTAATTCACAACCAAGGTCTGACAGTTCTAGGCTCTTGAGGTGTCGGCTGAATGCCGTAGGACTTCCGTAAATTGCCCACAAAAGAGTAACTCAAGCTATTGTGAACTGAAATGAAAGTAACCGCAATATCCGATTAAAGCAAGGTTTAAATCTTTTAATTTTCTGCCACGCTAACAGCTCTTTCGATAAAACGGCATAAACATTTTACAAAGCGCCTTTTTCAGTCTCGGGCAGTAACATAGTATGAAATGGAGGTAAACTCAAGAATTCAGTTTTTTGACTGCATTGCAACTTTGAAACTATTAAGCCGCTGCCTGAAAGGCCGGGAAAATGTTTTTCGTAAAATTCGTACAAGTATTTGAAAAGTAGCTCCTTTCTAATTTAACATTACCAAATTTCAAATTTAGCAAACGCGCTAACTACTGTATGGTCCTGTATCAGTATGTAAAGGCATCAAATCTTTATAAAGCCGACAGAAACAATTAACAGACAAGTACCGATATGATTTAAGAATTTTTTGTACTGCTTTTATATCACGATCAAGCAAATGAAATATTCCTGGCCATCTGCCACCATCGCAAAATCGCGAAATTCAGAGGCTTCTAGATCACTAACACAAAATACTGCAATAACTGTTCTTATACTGCTCTTTTCTTCCGCTTTGTTCAAGGCAACACTCGTGCCAAAATCAATTTCGAGAGGGTGCTGAAAAAATAAGATGGAATAAGAGAAAGCTGTTAATTGACCATGAATGGTAAAAAAGAGTAAGACTTGAATAAGATTATCACCTCCATAAGTCCAAGAAGTCAATGTTATGTATTTTTTAAGTATACACTAGCCGGGATACTACAGCATTCATTAGAGCATTTTTGCAAGTTAACTGTAGATTTCAGGTACACACTACCCAGGATACTACAGGAATGATTAGAGCATTTTTGCAAGTTAACGTATATTTCAGGTGTACACTACCCAGGATACTACAGGAATGATTAGAGCATTTTTGCAAGTTTTAACTTTCTCAAACTCATTAACTATTCATACGGTTATAAGCAAATCGGAGTGCCCCATTTTGGTCAGCTGGATGTATCTTGATACCCACTGAAAATCTAGATCAAGATTACTCCGGTTAGTTCAAAAACTGATGAAAACACTGATCAAGAAATTTGAATTTTAATCAGTCTTAATACTGAATATAGTATATTTGCCGCTTCAATCATTACTTACAACAACAATAGGGCAACATATTATTTTTTTTCTTAGACACCAGAATGTTGCTTCTTCTTGCTCGCTCACAAACTCCTTCTCCTCCTTCTTGGACTTAATGTGAAGCCCTTCTCGAACGCCATCCTTCATCTCGGCATCTAACCAAAGTCGGAACAGGACAAACCTTCGAAAAACAACACACCAAATTCAATTCCCAAAACAGTGCATTTTAAAATTCTGAACAATGCAGTCTAAAAGTTGTCAATTACCTTTTGTCACCAGCGTCCAGAGGATTCAAAGCTTCGGATCCATTATTCTCCTCCAAATAACGCTTGAGCGCACAAATGATACCATAAACAGTCTTGGGAGGGTATCTTTCACCGGACTTTTTAGCTACCTCCACCACCAATTTTGACAACCAATAGTTCAGCGACAGAACATCCATTCCGAAAATATCTGCGCTCAGAGCGGTAACCTTGTGTAAATCGTAGTCCTTGAAGAGACCACCACAATCTAATACCGGAACTTGAACCTCTCTTAACCTCTGCCATTCGGCAAAACTGCTCACAGCCCACTTGTTTTTATACTTAGTTGAAGCTGGAACGGCGCATACACCAGAACATTTTCTTGAAAAGAAGTTTTAGGAACGCAAAATCGTTCTGATCCGAACTCGACCTCCATCATGCGCCGTAATGTTAGTCTACTAAAAAACCCGCCAGCATGGCCGCATATTAAATATTCATTTCATTTATGATATCAAGAATAAGAAACAAGCAATAGCCTCTCTTCACCTCTGCCATTCGAGTCTATTGAGCACGTCTTCTAATTACCTATTCTTCGGAAATAAATCCACTAAATTCTCACACTAGTTTGAGAAGCCATGTCAAAAACTCGTGCTTCGTGTTTCATTAGGGGTTCCAGACACCTCGAAACAATAAAAGCGCTCGGCCTTCGGCCTCGTGCTTTCATCTGTTTCTCGGTGTCTGGAACCCCTGATAAAACACTCGCACTCGTTTTTGACATATTAAGTAGATTTCAGGTATACACTACCCAGAATATTACAGAAATGATTAGACCATTTTTCCAAGTTAACTGTAGGTTTCAGGTAAACACTACCCACGATACTACAGGAATGATTTCAGGTATACACTACCAAGGTTAATACTATGCAACGCAGATAACAAAAGCTCAAGAAACAAGTGGACCCAGCATGACCCAGCGAGGTTAATTGTCTGCGAAATTTTTTGAGAAAAGAGCTGACTCGCTCGAGTGTTGAATAGAATAGTGCAGAACAATAATTTTTAACATCAAAAGCTACTGATATAATTATTAAGTTTTCTTACCTGTGTGGAGTCTCTTCCTTTTTTCTTGAATACTGATATCACTGATCTGGGCGCCAAACAAACACGCGCGGTACATATTTCCCGCCAGAAATAATTAAAAGCACTTTCACGAGACGGTGATCAAAATACAAAAGCAAAATAGGAAAGTGCCAGCTGCTCGAGGCTAGCGATCGTTTGTTTGGCGGCGTGTGATAGAGTAAAACTGATAAAATATCGAGAAATCTGGACAGAATCTTTTAGTAATACATTATCGAAAATTATGTGAAACACATAATCAGAGAACACGTGCGAACAAAAATAATTTCCACTCGATATTTTTTTCTCGGTATTTTTCATGAACAAAAAATCGAAATATTAAAAATCACGACTTACCAGCAATTGCTCGACTAAACAAAGCTACACTTACCAAAGTCGATAACCAAGTAAGGATTTCCTACAGAAATAATTTCCCACTCTCGTTTAGCAGTTTAGAGGTCGAACTTGACGTAGGTTAAAATGGATTCGTTTTGCCGGCATCTATCCGTTGAATTAAAGTAGATTTAACACTTGCCGGGAGTAATTAGTAATCTAGCCATTTTACCCATAGCTTCGCAAATGCAACCAACGTTATAAAGCGACAGCAACTTTAGCGAAATGTTCACACGCGACACGCGACGACCTCAGTAAATCTAACAAATGAAACAAGATACTGAGAAAAAAAAGGTTCGTTGACTGTTTCCGGCAGGCGGTGACAAAGGAAGACCTCCTGGTCAGAATTTTTTTTGTAGCCTAAGCCCGTCATGTCATAGACTGCAAAACAGTCCGTATTTTGCGTATTCAAGTATGCGCGAGCAGTCAATCAAAAGGTCTGGAACAAGGCTGAAAACAGAGAGCGAGACAGGGGAGAGACGGGGAGGTTTTTTTTCTCTCGCCTCACACGCCCTACGGGCGTGTGAGGCTCGCGCTCTAAGCGCGCGAGACTCTTACGCCACGCTTTACCGATTTCCTTACTGATTTTAGAAAAAAACCGACTGTTTTGCAGTCTAGTCATGTCATAGAACAAGCATACACAACACACAACATGACTGTTGCTGTTTTCTTCCAGTGGTTCATGGCATTCCACTGATCACAGTCAATGCCAATGTTTGCGTTTTGGGATCAAATTGCCGTCTACACCGAGCCTCCAGCTACCTTTTATTCAGCTTAGCGATCGCTGATCTAATCGTCACTTTAGTATGCACGCCCCTTGTCTTGGAAATCATCAGCCAGAGAACATTCTCCCACTCCCACGAGTGCACAGCGAGCCTGGAACGTGCGTTTGGTATTTTATCCCATGTTCCATGTATCACATCAGTCTTTCATATGGTCGCAATCAGCTTTGATCGTTTCGCTGCCGTTGTGTTTCCTCTGCCGCTTAAAATCTTAATCGGGAAATGCAGACTTAAGGCTATGCTTACGTCTTGGACAATCCCAATTCGTCCCCACTTTAAAGCATATCGTTCCACTTGCTCACTTTCCGGCCAGATATATTGGACTGGGAACTTTTGCCTTCACCTACTTCTTTATTTTCTTTTTTTACTTTCTGATTGTGTTGTTTCCGCTCCACCACAGGAAAACAAGAAAGCAGCTAGCTACCCGAACAGTTTCTGTGAAACTGACTACGGCAGGGAGGTACGAGCTGCTTGCACAATAGCAATCGGCGTTTTCACGGCTTGTTGGGTTCCTCTGATGATTGTACTGTTTTTCACCGGAAAACTACTCATAAAGCGAAGCGGCCCTCTAAACATGTGGCTCCGCACCCTGGCTCTGTCAAACTCAGCTATGAACTTTCTCATTTACTCTGCCAAAATCCGGGACTTTAAAGATGCATACATCGGTATCTTACGAAAAATGCTCCGCCTACGTGAGAGTGCTTGACTATCGCTACAGGTTAAGGATGTGACAAATGTACTGGAAAGTTGAACTCGCAATCACTGTTAGTTCGGAAGCAAGAGAGGATAAAGGGGACAGAGAAAGCATCCCCTATACACACCCTATTCCATAGGTAATTCGTCTCGAGTTATTTTTAACACCACAGATCTCAAGGAGGATTAGACAACAGCCAATCACCAATGTTTTGCGCGTGGATGACCCACGCTCAGAACCACGCGCCCTTCACGAATTGACGCTGAACAAAATGGCGGAACACGCGGAGAGCGATATTGCNTTAGTTCGGAAGCAAGAGAGGATAAAGGGGACAGAGAAAGCATCCCCTATACACACCCTATTCCATAGGTAATTCGTCTCGAGTTATTTTTAACACCACAGATCTCAAGGAGGATTAGACAACAGCCAATCACCAATGTTTTGCGCGTGGATGACCCACGCTCAGAACCACGCGCCCTTCACGAATTGACGCTGAACAAAATGGCGGAACACGCGGAGAGCGATATTGCCATTCTTTTTGTCGACGGAAACGATTACAGAGAGATTTCTGCTAAAGCCGTGTCGTATAAAGCTAACAGTTCAGCGGGGAAATCCTTAACTAACTGAATATTCTCTTAGGATCATTTATAATTTACAGTTTGAAGAGAGTAATTTCTGGTTTGATATTTATTCTTTTATTAGACTTTTATTATTCAACAAAAAGAACACTTATTGTACAAACGACCGGTTTCAATAGACCGGCGAAATTTCTCGTTTTATTAAAGCACTGAGGTTACGACAACTTCGACTTAAACTGATTTCACTGGTTGTCAAAGAGTCCAGCGATTCCCTTTTCCTAGGTGAGCGCCGACTTAATTCGCTTCAATATTCAGGAATGCTCTCGATCTCTTTACGCTCTCATTGCCTTTCGCCCGACATATTTTGCACGGCGTTTAGTCATGCGAAACCTCCACGAAACATCCACGCAGCGCGCGAGGTAACTTTATCCCGATTCTAAAAATAACTCGAGAAGAATTACCTATGGAATAGGGTGTGTATGGGGGATGCCTTCTCTGTCCCCTTTATCCTCTATTGTTCGGAAGAGAAATTTTTTGGTACTTTATTTTAGTGTTTCAGAAACATGAAGTTTGCGTCTTGCCCTTTACACGAACACTACATTATTAACGTATTGGCTCAGGTCTCACGTGCATGCTACCGGCAGTACAAGAAACTGTATTTTGGCACAGAACTGACATGAAGCAGGGGCGCACAACGACTTGTTACCTGTAAAAAATGTTAGTATGAGGAAGTATATATCGCCTGCTCCGACAAAAAGTGCAGATGAGAAGCTAGACTAATCTTAAACTCTTATATAGCATCTAAGATTTTCGGGAAACGATAAAAATGCCGAATTATTTTGAGACTCAGCAATTACATAGTTATTAAAGCATGATGAGGTACATAATAAACAAAAGAGGGCCGTTCCTTTTTTTCCATATTATTTGAGGCCTCATTCAGGATTGACCACGATCTTGTCAATTTTGAAATTGCCGAATAAATGTAATTCCTACATACTCCTCTTGACGAAGCAGTTGTTTAATAGGCAAATGGCCATGGTTTGTATAAACAAACGTGGAAGTAATCCGTAACTCTTGGACATTGACGCGACAAGCTACTTGGGTTTCATTCAATCAATTTCGTTTTCTACCTCGTTGATATACTCTAAAACATAATGTAATACACTGAGACGAAGCGAATTACATCTGTGTCTGTCTTTCCTTGGTCGTTTTAGAAGGGGTTCCGATGCCAGGCCGGAGATGGTATCTCCGTTCGATTCTAAAAAAGAACAATAGTTTCAAGCGCTTCATTCACGACAGAAACTGGAGCGTAGATCTCAGCTTTAAGTGTTAACCAGAATCTATCCTCGGTAGCAGAAGAGAGAAGGAAGGGAAAATTACTCTTCTTACCAAAGAAAGGGTCCTGTCAGCGTCTTATCGCATAGGAAAGTGTTTCGTCAAAATCGAAAACAAAGTAAGTTGTTTATGAGACGCTCAAAGGCATTTTTTCACGTTTTGCCGACACTATCTACTCCACCAAGTTAATACTCCCTCATCCACTTTTTCTGAATAATATTGTGCCGCTGCTCAATTAAGCTACGCCCAGTTTGCTTTGTTGTCCTAGAGATATACCCCATTTGTTTTGTGACAGTATGTTACGCTTGGATATGTGCGTATTTAACACACAGCATTCCGGATTTCGTCAACTTAAACCTGGAGCCTCCACAAACCTGCTTGCTTCCATTCTATAGAATTTCTCGTTTGTCTGTGACAAATGTGCAATCATGAAAAAGTAACATGAAGAGCAGAAAAATAGACTGACCATTTGGACTGGTAAATTTATAGATATCCCATTTTTTTTGAAAACACGTTTGGCTCTAAAAACGAAACTACGCAGCCATGCATGTTTTGAAATTAACATCAAATTGCAATGATCTTTTCAGTCAAAGTGTTTTGTTTAAATGAGTTTCAAACTTGTTTTCGTGTAAAGGTGGTTGTCACTCGCCGATATAATGATGCAAATCAAGTGATATGATATTGACCTGAGCAGATATTAGTTTAGAAGGCGTACACTGAATCGATTAAGGCTAAACTTCACTAACACAATACATGTTTTTAATACAGAAAATGGGGTCTTCAACAACAACAACTGAGTAAAGTAATTGAAATAATGATGATGCCTAACCTAGTTAAACTAGTCAACAGCCTTTTAATTACAGGTAATTAGTTATCTTTTTTCGACGTTTAATCCACGTCTTCATATTGACCATAGTCTGGATTACCCAAGTAAACTAACAACATGCAGTATGTATTTGCATTTATTACTAAAAGATATATTGGTAGCAAGCTAATGTTTCCTGTTATGACTGTCACCCTGACGTATGTGATTGTTGTTATCATAGTAAGAGAATTTCAGCATGTTATTTCTGGCTTACGTCTTAGGGCTAAGTATAGGTTCTTTTACGTCAAAATAGATCTGAAATATCAAAGTGGGCCGTAAACAAATTTATTTATACTTTCCTTCCAACTTTTTTTCTATTCACATATGCTAAGTGTTGGACGAAAACAGACCTTAATCCTGATTTTTCGCCCGCGCAGTGCGCCAGGCCAAACGAGAACATGAACGAATCATCGGAGAACGCAAACAGTTGTTCTCTTCCCATGGCTCATGGTATTCCACTGATAGCAATCAATGCTACCATAAGCGTTCTGGGATCACTTGGAAACTTGCTTGTTTGTTTGGTCATTACTACAAACTCTCGCCTACGCCGAGCCTCAAACTACCTTTTATTTAGTTTAGCGATCGCTGATCTAATCGTCACTTTGGGATGCGAGCCACTACTTTTGGAAGTAATAATCCAGAGGACATTCTTCCATGAGTGTACAGGGAGGCTGCACCGTACGTACTCTCTTTTATCCCAGATCTCATGCAGCACTTCAGTGTTACATATGGTTGCAATCAGTCTTGATCGTTTCGTTGCCGTTGTGTTTCCATTGCGGTACAAAGAATTCATCAAGAATTGCGGACTTAGGGTTATGCTTATATTACCTTGGTCAATCCCGATTCTTGCGCGCGTTTTGATGTCTATCCTTCCGCCGGCCTCCTATCCTGGCCATTTTATCGGACTGGGAACCTTTGCCTTGAGCTATTTCTTTATTTTCTTTTTCTATTTTCTAATCGTGGTATTTTTGATCCATCACAGAAGGACAAGAAAGCAGCTAGGTGCCCGAACACTTTCTGTGAAAGTGACTTCCAGCAGGGAGGTCCGTGTTGCTTGCACACTGGCTATCGCAATCAGCGTTTTCACGGCTTGTTGGGTTCCTCTGATTACTGTATTTTTTGCCACTGGAAAACTAATTATAAATCGAAACGGCAGAGATGAGTACACCGAAGCTTGGGACCGAGAGAGGTTGAGTCGGTACTTGAAAGACTAGATGAGACGATTTTAGTCCCTGAAGTTTCTGCGTATGTAACTATAAAAAGCTTTCTACGAGGTGGACTTCTCATCCCGACTTACGGTTTGAAGAACTCAGAAAGTTTTAGGAAGCTGAACTTGTGAGCTGTCCTACTCATTATAAAAAGGGCATTTTAGTGTTTCAGAAACTTGAAGTCTCGGTAACTTCCTCTCTGGTATTATCTATTATGTTTAAGGAAGAAGCTGGTCTCACAATCACGTCAGCAGTTCAAGAAACTGTACTCTGGTAATGAACCGAACCAGAGGCACCGGACGAATTATCTTTGCCGAAGTGTAAATATTTGCTTAATGGAATAAATAAACTATTGTCTGAAAAGTTTCAAAGAAAGAAAGTTAAAGGAAGACACAATATTTTCTTACGCCCCATTCACACCAAAGCTTAAACATGTTCAAAAGCTGTTTACTTAAACACAATTTAAAATTGTTTTTTTCATACATTGTAAAAGAAGGAGCTGCTTACTAACTTAAGTTGATTGATAATTTAGTGCAAGTTACAAAACATGGCGAATTCTATATGAGTCCTGTGTAAAAAGTCTTTTTCTCCAGTTTTTCACCTCATGTTTTTTCTTTTCTTTTTTCTTTTACGTTTTAACCTGGTTTAATTAAAGATGTTTAGTTGTTGTGAATAGGGCATAGGTATTTGTTCCAGTTCCTAGCTTTTTCGGAGCTGTACTACTTTGCATTGACTTCCATACAATTTTCTGAAATAGTGATTTTCACGCTTTAACCACCAGGGTTGGCTAATATCTTGACAAAGGACCCGTAGTGGCATCTAAGCATTCGGAAAGGATATGGGAAGCCCTCGAAGGGGATTACCTTAGGAAAGTTAGAGTAGGGGTGTGCCGCCGAGGCCTTCACACCCTGACCCTGTTCATTAATTTGCTACCCTATCCTTATCCTATGACCCTGATTCGTTTCGTTTTGCATAGAGAATTATTAATAAGTAATTTCCAGAATTTTTCAAACTAACCTCATGGATTTTGATTTTTTGAGAAAAAAAAGTTGGTTCCACAAATGTAGACCGCTCCTCGCCAATCTTCACACTCTTTGAGAGGATTCCGCTCCAAGAAGACACCCTGCTCGAGGCGCTAAGTTGGGAAATTTTAAACCCCATTTAAGACACAAGACCCTAAGAAAAGAAAGCTGTGCCTAATATATTATATTCCCATCACTGATCACAAATGGAATTGAATTCATGAAGGCTGGAACTGGATCTTATATAGTAGTAAGAAACACTGACTCAGTTTATGGGTTTTATTGTCCTTAACAATCATGGCTTAAGTTTCCGAAGCTGAACGCCCGACTGACCGTAGCCTGTGTGCACGAAAGTAAATATTCAACGCCTGAAAATTGCGGGCGGGACAAGCTGTTCGTGTTTCATTTATTTGAATCTGTCTTTTGTCTCGTAGATATATTCTTAAATAAATGATTTAGCTGTGTGTCTGTGTCTTTCTTTAGTCGCTTTAGAGGGGATTTGGTCGCCACACCATGCAGGGGCGGTCTCTTCGTTTGATTTTAAACACTGCAGTAGTTTCAAACGCGTCAAGCACGACTGAAACAGGAATGCAGGCATCTAATTTGAAGTAATAATCATAAACTCTCCCTGTGAGCAGACGAGAGAAGGTAGAGAGAAATGATTCCTCTTCTTAGCAAAGGAAGTCTCCAGCTTCTTAGTATAGAGAAGTGTCCAGCTACAATTGGCGAAAAAAATATTGTAGACACCTTGTCCTCAACCTAATTTCTCACTATTTCCTGACACGACTCTTCAATTTCCAAAGATCATACTCTCTTGTAATCGCTAAGTTGAAAGCCCACCTCTCGCCTCCCCCTCTCCCTAAAAAATAATTGGTGTGGTATCCAAGCTACCCTTAGGAAAGAACAACCAAAGATTAAGGTATCATTTTGACTCTTGGCTTGCCCGTAAGCAGGCCTGGTTGGATTTTTCCTTCTTAACTTGATCGCTTCTTTTCCAGAATAAAATCGAAATGCAGAAAATAAGTTTGATAACGCCTAAGAAGGCGGGGTAAGCAAATTTCTTTATATCCTTCTTCTACTCACAAGTGTGTTGGACGAAGAGGGAGTCTTAATCCTGATTTTACGCCTGTCAGTCCAGTCGGCCAACCGCCCCGGCGCGATGTTCGATTTGTACTGTGCGTGTGAAATACTTGTTTCATTTCTGTGCCGTTGCTATTCATACCATACCAGAAAGCTACCAGGTATAGTGTGAAAACAGCCTAAATATGTTCTCATAATTGCAAACTTGCCGCTTTGTAAAGGTGAACATCACTTGCAGCTCAGTGTAATGATGTAACTCTTACTAGTAATTTGATTTTGACCTGAGCGAAAAAGTCATGCATTGATTCTATTTAGCTTTAACTTTTAAAAATTATAAAAACAGTACATTATCTTAATTAAAACCGGATGGGATGTCATCAACAACAACAAGAAGAACAACAAGTAAAGTAATTATATTAATGATGACAATGCCTCATCTGGTTGGGCCAATAAAGAGCCTGTAGTTAGTGTATTAGACGTTTAATTTGCGTGTTCGGATTGGCCATGGTCTGAGTTACTCAGGTATACTATTTTCTAAAAACATGCACTACAGATTTGCATCGATCACTGGAAGATATATTACCAGCAGATTCAATATTTACAGGTATGGCTGTCAATCTGACTTATCTGATTGTTGTCGCAGTATATCTATATCTGTCTTCAATATGGCTCACGTCTGTGCTGGACTAAATTAGGTTCTTTTGCGTCAAACTAAATCTGACAACGTCTGAAATGGGCAGGCTAAACATGTCATTTATTTCTTACCTCCAACTTCATCTATTCACATGTTCTGATGCCTTGGGGGAAAAGGTGGAACATAATTCTGATTTTACGTCGTACAGTACATCCGTCCAGGCGACAGCATGAATGAATCATCGAAGAACGTAAACAATTGTTTTCTTCCCATGGCTCATGGTATTGCGCTGATCACAATCAACGCTATCGTCTGCGTTTTGGGATCACTTGGAAACTTGCTTGTTTGTTTGGCCATTGCTACAAATTCTCGCCTACGCCGAAACTCCAACTACCTTCTATTCAGCTTAGCGATCGCTGATCTAATCGTCACTTTGATATGCGAGCCACTCTTTATCGAAGCCATCATCCAGAGAACATTCTTGTACGATTGCAAAGCGGGCCTGGACATTGTGCTCTCCACTTTAAGCTATCTTTCATGTGCCACCTCAGTCTTACATATGGTGGCTATCAGTCTTGATCGTTTTGTTGCCGTTGCGTTCCCACTGAGACACAAAAACTTCATGGAGAAATGCGGACTTAAGGTTATGCTTATAGTATCCTGGTCAATTCCGGGTTTTAAGGTGATTCTTCTTCTCGTTTTTTGGCGTGCCATTCCGTCGGCTTATTATTCAGCGAGCCCATTTCTCTTATTTGGCACCTTTGTCTTCAGCTATTTCTTAATTTCCTTTTTCTACTTTCTGATCGTGGTATTTCTGCTGCGTCACAAGAGGAAAAGAAAGAAACTCAGCAGAGCTCGAAACGTTTCTTTGAAACTGACTTCCCGCATAGAGGTTCGTGTTTCTTGTGCGCTGGCTATCGCAATCGGTATTTTCTCCGCTTGCTGGGTACCCGTGATAACTATAATGATTGCCACAATGACTGGAAAACCACTAACAAGGCCAAACGGCCCTTTGGACTTGTGCCTTCGAACCCTGGCTCTGTCAAACTCAGCCATGAACTTTCTGATCTACTCTGCTAAAATCCGGGACTTCAAAGAGGCATACGTTGATATCTTTCGAAAGTTGTTCCGCTTGTAGAGTTGTGGAATTTTGCTACTTGTTTCAAGAAATTTGAAGTCAGTTTGAAGTCGCAGTTGATCCTAATGCATGGCTACTTCTGGTGAGGAAAAACTGTCATCTACATGTGTGTGTTCATATAGACAGGAAGACAGGGCAGTTTGGATTTTGTCCAACTAAACCTGCTGGCTTCCGTTCAAGACCAAGACGTCCTTTGACCAATACGGAAGTAATCATGAAAATTAAGTTAAATGTACGGACTGGTCAAATTTTAAGTAGAAGGCGATGAAAACCTTGTAAACTCTAAATCACAACATTGCGTAAGCAAATTTTGAAATTAATGCTAGCCACCGAACAGGGACGGCGAAATGTCTCTTATCATTTTAAAGAAAATGTGTTTCGTTTAAATATATAATAGTGACCTTTGGATTCTAACACGAGTACGACTACAAGTACGAGATTTTCTCTCTACTAACTGGTGCTCGCGGGTAAGGCACCTTCGTCATTCTACTACAGGTTTTAGCGAGAATGTTGAGGTCATCCAATATTCGAAGTTTTATCATTTTCCGATCAGGAGAGGGTTTAACCTCCTTCAATAAAGATAATAGTGCCAACGTTTCTGGCGAAAATTGTACACTGAAGCTTCCCGGAGTGTCTATTTTTTTTTTTTTAGAATTCGCGAAAAGTCAAACCTCGTCCTCGAATCTAAACTAGCCCATTTTACAGTTTCAGGAGGAAACGAGGCTGGAGTGGACCTTGTTTTGATACAGCCCTTCCTGCTTTATTATGCAAATCATATTTTTCTTATGCTAACTTGTATTGTTTTAAGCAAAATTTACATTAGAAAAGGGAAGGAGGTTTGTATCAAAACAAGGATAACCTCACATTCACTCAAACGCTAGGACACTCAGCCCATAACTTTAAAATGGTCTATTTTTGACGCAACGCAAGTGATTTGATCTTGACCTGAGCAGATTTGTAAGAAAATAAGGCTGGACTTCAAATTACTAAAGCAATACAATATCTTGATAATAATGATGGAGATTTTAACAACAACAACAACAACCTTGTAACAACAACTACAGTATTTACAATAACGATGGCGATGTCAAATGACTAAATAATATGACGATTTAGAAGTAGCGCATCTTTTAGTGATTCTTCATCTACCTGATTCCTGGTCGAATTGGTATTTGCAAATGTTTTTTGAGGAGAGGGGGAAATCGATTTAGTATATTTGTAAGAGAAAATTTGTAAGAGAAAACCGTCGTAGGTATAGAGTGCCCATGGTATGTCGATGGTACAGGTTGTCAATCAATCAATCAATCAATAAACTTTATAATGGGAGCTTAAATGTCACATCGTGAGTTCACGATTATAGAAGCTCGGTTGATGTAATTATTTATTAATATTATTTTTCAATTAAGATATATCGTTTTTAGATAACTAACTACCTAGACAACTAACTTGTCGGATATTGTCAAACGGTTTTGTGGTGGTGGAGAAAAAATTGGTGGATATTAGCAAAGGGTTCTTCGGTGGTGGATAAAAACCTAAAAACTATACCGTCCCACTTCTCAACATACTCCTTAAGAACGCTACAGTAACCCCGTTGTAGCTTGACTGACAAGGTACACAGTAAACAAAAGAAGTTGTGAGAAACGTTTTGCTGGGGGTTTATAATAACACATTAGCTATACTCCCATGATCTTGTTTTATGGCAGATACATTATGGACATCTCAATGTCTCTTGATGTGCATTTACATATTCTGTTAAAGTGTTTAATCAAAATGCCTTTACTTGCCTTTTCAAACGGAAGTAAGTGTTACAAATTACCTACAATCGGCGACAAAATTGTTGAGACATTGTACTCAAACAGGGTAACTTCAGCGAAAAAAATAATCCACTCCCCTCCCCTCCCCTCCATTCAAAGTAGGGGTGTTTGTTGTTTTCTACTGGTAGCTCGAACAGGGGCACAACATTGCATGGAGGGGATGGGGAGGAAGATTTATTTTCCTCTTTTAATTTCGGTGAAACGCCAGAAAGCCCCATTAAGGCGAAGTGTCTAAACTACGTTTGTAGCAGATTGTAGCCTTGCTTCCTTGCTTGTTAACTTTCTCATCGCCTATTCCACAAAGGATACCTGGCGACAACAAATCCTTCTACTGTGTAATGGATAATTTTGTTCATTTTAAATCAAGCGCTTATTCACAGACTACAAGGGATATCTGGTGAAAAACAACTCCACAACTGCAAGAGATAATTATGCTTCGGATATTTCATTTTCAGAGTAAAATGTCTGCTGAGCTGTCTCATTTTCTTGAAGAACACGTTTGTCCTTAGGAGTAAAGACTACCGGATCGCGAACCAAAAGAAGCAACAATAAGTGAAATTAGTGAAGGATCTCGAACGGACATATTGTTTATAGGCATGAAAAAACTCTACGAGATTTAGTCAGCAAATATAATAAATCAAAGACCATATCATTTGAATTAATAATCCTTTTTAGAACTCCAATATTGATATTTTGCTTTTGTTGATAACCTGACTTATCTTTTCCTTCTTCGAAAGCTAAGAGGATGTCTTTTTATATACGTCAGTTATCTTCAGTATAGGTCCTTCGAACTTAGCATAAGAGTGGGCGTGAAAAACAGATATATTTTTAACTTACAACAAATTTGGAGTCATCTTATAGTTAAAGCACTGTTAGTAATAGACGAAGAAGGAGACACATGCAATACAGCCTTTGCGAAATCCAGAGCCCCATACCAAAGTACAACTGAACATGAATGTTTCACTGAAAACTACAAAAGACTGTTCTCTTCCCCTGTATCAAGGTATTGCTTTGATGACAGCCAACGCCATTGTGTGCGTATTTGGTTCACTCGGCAACTTACTAGTTTGCTTTGCCATTGCCACAAATCCTCGACTTCGTCGATGCTCAAACTACCTTCTGTTCAGCTTAGCCGTTGCAGATTTGATCGTCACCTTAGTATGTGAGCCCCTCCTTTTGGAAATGTTCTACAATCGAACATTTGTTCACGAGTGCAAACCAAGCCTGGAAAGACTGTATTCTATTTTAGCCAATCTCTCCTGCTCCGCTTCCGTGGTTCATTTGGCCTGTATTAGTGTAGATCGATTTATCGCCGTTGTGTTTCCTCTGCACCACCAAATCGTTATGAAGAGATGTGGGTTAAAGATTATGTTGATAGCATCTTGGGCATTCCCAATTTCAGTACCCATTCTAATGGTTGTTCTCCCACCTTCCTTTCCCAAAGGGTTCTTGGCGATTGCTTCATTTGCCTTCAGCTATTTTGTTGTCATTTTCTCATATCTTTTGATTATGGTGTTCTTGCTCATCCACAAGGGAAAAAGGAAGCGGCTACGGGCTCGGGCAGTTTCTGTTGATCCTTCACCACACATGGAGATCCGTGTTGCCTGCACGCTGGCCATTGTCATCGGCGTTTTCACGGCTTGTTGGGTCCCGGTAATGACCGCATTGTTTGCTGCCGGTAAATCATTGATGAAGCGAAACGGCGCTCTACACATGTGGCTCCGGACCTTGGCTCTGTCGAACTCAGCCATGAATTTTCTGATTTACTCTGCAAGAATCCGTGACTTTAAAGACTCATACGCCGCTATCTTTCGAAAGATGTGCCGTCTGTAGAGTTTGTTGCGAACCTAACTGATAAATTCTTGCATGATGTCGCCAATATGTACATGACATTCTTTAAGGTGCAGAAGTTCTCGATTCCTTTGCTATGTCATTAAAATAACTTTAATTACTTAGCAGGATTTACAATAACAACTCCTTACAAGGCTATTTTCTCATTTTACACGTTTATACTCAGAGTATTAATTGCCCTTGGCAGTTCAACATACAGTATTCCTGAATAAACATGTCCAATTTAGAGCAATTTTGCCGCTTTACCTTATTTTGTTTTCAGTTTATTGAGTATCGCTCGCAGTTATAACAGATAAAGACCTTGAGGTATTTGCTATTGATCTGGAGGACTCGTGAACGCAGTACTAACTCTAATTCAGGGTGAGTCAGTAAAAATGACTGATGCAATACATGATTATAATGAATGATGCTAATTTAATGGGGATATTGATCGAAAAAAGATGATGGCAAAAACAATCCATCCAGATTAAAGTTAAGAATAAGTGCTACTTTTTTATGATGGTTTTTGTGGCCGGTAGAATTAGTTTCGGATCAGTCATGGTCTGCTCTGTGAGGTAAATAAAAAATACTTAGAGAAAATATTGTTAGCAAGGTAATACTAATATTATGCAGCCCTTGTAGTTGTCAATCTGGCTGATTTAAGTGCAGTGTTCTTATCAATTGACCTTGTGAGAGTTTCAGAATGTAAGTTTCTTTCTTACGTCAACAGACTGTATACGGGTATTTCGACATATCTAGTCAATTAGTAAAACCCAACTGGTCTATTATCAATGCTGCGTTCTGAATGGTTGAGCTATTACTAGGCTATATGTTATAGCCCACTAGTAGTGAAAAGCGCCGGCTTTGAAAACCAAAACAATGGCGGCTGAATCGCGTTTTGCTGGCTAGAGTTGTTTTGTCTTGATATTTTTGACCAAATAGTTAGATTTTACTAAAACAATTATTCCTTGAGCCCGAATGGGCTTTGAGGCAATAGCCCATGAGGCCGAAGGCCTCATGGGCTATTGACTCACAGGCCATGAGGGCGAGAGGAATAATTGCTAAATAACTTACCTACATAAGTGCCTATGATATACGAGGTAAAAAAGGCAATGCTGTGTTTGAGACTTGCAGAGCACCAGCCCAAGCCGGACGTGCCCAATGAACGTTCCATTGGCAAACAGAAACGGTTGTCCTCTACCAATGGCGCACAGTATTCCACTAATCACGATCAACACTATCGTATGCGTTTTGGGATAACTTAAAAACTTTCTTGTTTTTTGGCCGTTGGCTCGCCTACGCCGAGACCCAAACTAACTCCTACTCAGCTTAGCAATCGCTGATCTAATCGTCACCTTGATATGCGAGCCACTTCTTCTGGAATACATCAGCCAGAGAACATTCTTCCATAAGCGTACAACAAGCCTGAAAGCACTTGCGTTCGGCATTTTGGTCAGTTTTTCGTGCACCTCTTCATTTTTACATTTAGTGGCATTTAGTATTGATCGTTCTGTTGCCGTTGTGTTTCCACTGCATCACAAAATCTTCATGAAGAAATGCGTTCGAACAGTTTCGTTGAAACTGACTTTCCGAATGGTGTTCCGTGTTGTTTGCACACTGGCTATCGCAACAGGCGCTTTCACTGTTTGTTGGTTTCCTATACTCATTGTGTTTGAAACTAAAAGACCGAAAATAACTAGCCCTCTACACATGTGGCGCCTAACTATGGCTAGGTTAAACTCAGCCATGAACTTCTTGATTTACTCTACTAAAATGCGGGACTTTAAAGATTCATACATCGGTATCTTACGACAGATGTTCCGCATGTAGAGTGGTCAAACTACTTTAGAAGGGAACTCGTTATGAAAAAAGTTATCTTTAATTAGTATTTCATAACATGAAGTGTTATTACTTGTTGCCTGTTATTATATGTACACTATTTTTAGTTGATAATATATAGATTTAGCCGGGGCTAAAAGCACAGCTCTCGAAAATATTGATAGTTTGTTCAAACAAAATATGAAATCGTGTAATGCTAAGCAGAGAGAGGGCATGGAACGTCGAAAAACGATGAAAAACAACAATAGGTCTAATTAGCAAAAGTTGTTTTGCACGACTACAACGTGGAACTTCCGGAAAATTCTTAGTTACACGTTTTATGGAGGAAATGTCGCACGTGTTCCAGTTAACTTTTTTTCACTGCCGCTCATTTTCACCTTGCATTGGTCACCGCCGCTACAAAATTTTCCTGTTTTTCTTCCAACAAAAAAATGTCTCCTTTGTTTTTTATCTCTCGCTCTAAATCCCTGTCGCCCTTTATCTCGTTGAGCTTCGCTGGCCTGCCGCCCACTTCCTCTTTTCCTCTGTCTTTGTCTTGCTCTATATTCCAAATTCTCTACTCATGTGGCTTCGAACCCTGGCTCTCTCCAACTCAGCCATGAACTTTCTGATCTACTCTGCTAAAATCAGGGACTTCAAAGACGCATACATTGATATTTTTCGAAAGATGCTCCACCTGAAGAGGTCTCGACTTACGGTTTCAAGAACTCAGAAAGTTTTAGGAAGCTGAACTTGTGAGCTATCCTACTTATTATGAAAAGGGCATTTTAGTGTTTCAGAAACTTGAAGTCTCGGTAACTTCCTCTCTGGTATTATCTATTATGTTTAAGGAAGAAGCTGGTCTCACAATCACGTCAGCAGTTCAAGAAACTGTACTCGGGTAATGAACCGAACTAGGGGCACCGGACGAACTATCCTTTGACGAAGTGTAAATATTTGCTTAATGGAATAAATAAACTATTGTCTGAAAAGTTTCAAAGAAAGAAAGTTAAAGGAAGACACAATCTTTTCTTACGCCCCATTCACACCAAAGCTTAAACATGTTTAAAAGCTGTTTACTTAAACACAATTTAAAATTGTTTCCTTCATACATTGTAAAAGAAGGAGCTGCTTACTAACTTAAGTTGATTGATAATTTAGTGCAAGTTACAAAACATGGCGAATTCTATATGAGTCCGGTGTAAAAAGTCTTTTTTTCCAGTTTTTCACCTCATGTTTTTTCTTTTCTTTTTTCTTTTACGTTTTAACCTGGTTTAATTAAACATGTTTAGTTGTTGTGAATAGGGCGTAGGTATTTGTTTCATTTCCTAGCTTTTTCGGAGCTGTACTACTTTGCATGGACTTCCCTACAATTTTCTGAAATAGTGATTTTCACGCTTTAACCACCAGGTTTGGCTAATATCTTGACAAAGGACCCCTAGTGGCATCTAAGCATTCGGACAGGATATGGGAAGCCCTCGAAGGGGATTACTTTAGGAAAGTTAGAGTAGGGGTGTGCCGCCGAGGCCTTCACACCCTTACCCTGCTCATTAATTTGCTACCCTATCCTTATCCTATGACCCTGAATCGTTTCGTTTTGCATAGAGAATTATTAATAAGTAATTTCCAGAATTTTTCAAACTAACCTCATGGATTTGGATTTTTTGAGAAAAAATTGTTGGTTCCACAAATGAAGACCGCTCCTCGCCAATCTTCACACTCTTTGAGAGGATTCCGCTCCAAGAAGACACCCTGCTCGAGGCGCTGAGTTGGGAAATTTTATACCCCGTTTAAGACACAAGACCCTAAGAAAAGAAAGCTATGCCTGATATATTATATTCCCATCACTGATTACTAATGGAATTGAATTCATGAAGGCTGGAACTGGATCTTACATAGTAGTAAGAAACACTGACTCAGTTTACGGGGTTTTTTTGTCCTTAACAATCATGGCTTAAGTTTCCGAAGGTGAACGCCCAACTGACCGTAGACTGACCGTAGCCGGTGTGCATGAAAGTAAATATTCAACGCGTGTAAATTGGGGGCGGGACAAGCTGTTCGTGTTTCATTCATTTGAATCTGTCTTTTGTCTCGTAGATGTATTCTTAAATAAATGATTTAGCTGTGTGTCTGTGTCTTTCTTTGGTCGCTTTAGAAGGGATTTGGTCGCCACACCAGGGGCGGTCTCTTCGTTTGATTTTAAACACTACAGTAGTTTCAAACGCGTCAAGCACGACTGAAACAGGAATGCAGGCATCTAATTTGAAGTAATAATCATAAACTCTCCCTGTGGGCAGACGAGAGAAGGTAGAGAGAAATGATTCCTCTTTTTAGCAAAGAGAGTCTCCAGCTTCTTAGTATAGCGAAGTGTCCAGCTACAATTGCAGGACGAAAAAAATATTTTAGACACCTTGTCCTCAACCTCATTTCTCACTATTTCCTGACACGACTCTTCAATTTCCAAAGATCATCCTCTCTTGTAATCGCTAAGTGGAAAGCCCACCTCCCGCCTCCCCCTCTCCCTAAAAAATAATTGGTGTGGTATCCAAGCTACCCTTAGGAAAGAACAACCAAAGATTAAGGTATCATTTTGACTCTTGGACTTGCCCGTAAGCAGGCCTGTTTGGATTTCTCCTTCTTAACTTGATCGCTTCTTTTCCAGAATAAAATCGAAATGCAGAAAATAAGTTTGATAACGCCTAAGAAGGCGGGGTAAACAAATTTCTTTATATCCTTCTTCTACTCACAANGTCTCTTCGTTTGATTTTAAACACTACAGTAGTTTCAAACGCGTCAAGCACGACTGAAACAGGAATGCAGGCATCTAATTTGAAGTAATAATCATAAACTCTCCCTGTGGGCAGACGAGAGAAGGTAGAGAGAAATGATTCCTCTTTTTAGCAAAGAGAGTCTCCAGCTTCTTAGTATAGCGAAGTGTCCAGCTACAATTGCAGGACGAAAAAAATATTTTAGACACCTTGTCCTCAACCTCATTTCTCACTATTTCCTGACACGACTCTTCAATTTCCAAAGATCATCCTCTCTTGTAATCGCTAAGTGGAAAGCCCACCTCCCGCCTCCCCCTCTCCCTAAAAAATAATTGGTGTGGTATCCAAGCTACCCTTAGGAAAGAACAACCAAAGATTAAGGTATCATTTTGACTCTTGGACTTGCCCGTAAGCAGGCCTGTTTGGATTTCTCCTTCTTAACTTGATCGCTTCTTTTCCAGAATAAAATCGAAATGCAGAAAATAAGTTTGATAACGCCTAAGAAGGCGGGGTAAACAAATTTCTTTATATCCTTCTTCTACTCACAAGTGTGTTGGACGAAGAGGGAGTCTTAATCCTGATTTTACGCCAGTCAGTCCAGTCGGCCAACCGCCCCGGCACGATGTTCGATGTGTACTGTGTGTGACTTGTTTCAGTTTTGTGCCGTTGCTATTCATACCATACCAGAAAGCTATCAGGTATAGTGTGAAAACAGCCTTAATATGTTCTCATAATTGCAATTGTGAACATCACTTGCAGCTCAGTGTAATGATGTAACTCTTACTAGTGATTTGATTTTGACCTGAGCAGAGATATTAGCGAAAAAGTCATGCATTGATTCTATTTAGCTTTAACTTTTAAAAATTACAAAAACAGTACCTGATCTTAATTAAAACGATAGGACTGTCGTCAACAACAAGAAGAAGAACAGCAAGTAAAGTAATTATATTGATGATGACAATGCCTCACCTAGTTGGACCAATAAAGAGTCTGTTAGTTAGTGTATTCGACGTTTAATTTGCGTATTCGGATTGGCCATGGTCTGAGTTACTCAGGTATACTATATTCTAAAAGCATGCACTGCAGATTTGCATTGATCACTGAAAGATCTGAAAGATATATTACCAGCAGATTCAATATATACAGGTATGGCTGTCAATCTGACTTATCTGATTGTTGTCGCAGTATATCTATATCTGTCTTCAATATGGCTCACGTCTGTACTGGACTAAATTAGGTTCTTTTGCGTCAAAATAAGTCTGACAACGTCTGAAATGGACGGCTTAAACATGTTATTTATTTCTCACTTCCAGCTTCATCTATTCACATGTTCTGATGCCTTGGAGGAAAGGGTTCAACTTAATTCAGATTTTACGCCGTACAGTACATCAGTCTAGACGACATCATGAATGAATCATCGAAGAACGTAAACAGTTGTTTTCTTCCCACGGCTGTTGGTATTTTGCTGATCACAATCAACGCTATCGTCTGCGTTTTGGGTTCACTTGGAAACTTCCTTGTTTGTTTGGCCATTGCTACAAATTCTCGCCTACGCCGAGCCTCCAACTACCTTCTATTCAGCTTAGCCATCGCTGATCTAATCGTCACTTTGATATGCGAGCCACTCTTTATCGAAGCCATCATAGAGAGAACATTCTTGTACGATTGCACAACGAGCCTGGACATTGCGTTCTTCATTTTAGGCTATCTTTCATGTGCCACCTCAGTCTTGCATATGGTGGCCATCAGTCTTGATCGATTTGTTGCCGTTGCGTTCCCACTGAGACACAAAAACTTCATGGAGAAATGCGGACTTAAGGTTATGCTTATAGTATCCTGGTCAATTCCGATTTTTAAGGTGATTCTTCTTCTCGTTTTATGGCGTGCCATTCCGTCGGCTTCATATTCGGCGAGCCCATTTCTCTTATTTGGAACCTTTGTCTTCAGCTATTTCTTAATTTCCTTTTTCTACTTTCTGATCGTGGTTTTACTGCTGCGTCACAAGAGGAAAAGAAAGCAACTCAGCAGAGCTCGAAACGTTTCTGTGAAACTGACTTCCCGCATGGAGGTTCGTGTTTCTTGTACGCTGGCTATCGCAATCGGTATTTTCTCCGCTTGTTGGGTTCCCGTGATAACTATAATGATTGCCACAATGACTGGGAAACCACTTATAAGGCCAAACGGCCCTTTGGACTTGTGCCTTCGAAGCCTGGCTCTGTCAAACTCAGCCATGAACTTTCTGATTTACTCTGCTAAAATCCGGGACTTCAAAGAGGCATACGTTGATATCTTTCGAAAGCTGCTCCGCTTGTAGAGTTGTGGACTTTTTGCTACTTGTTTCAAGAAATTTGAAGTCGGTTTGAAGTCGCAGTTGATCCTAATGCTTAATTTTTGTGAGGAAAAAAATGTCATCTACATGTGTGTGTTCATATAGACAGGAAGACAGAGCAGTTTGGATTTTGTCCAACTAAACCTGCTCGCTTCCGTTCAAAACCAAGACTTCCTTTGACGAATATGGAAGTAATCATGAAAATTAAGTTAAATGTACGGACTGGTCAAATTTTAAGTAAAAGGCGATGAAAACCTTGTAAACTCTAAATCACAACATTGCATAAGCAAATTTTGAAATTAATACTAGCCACCGGGCAGGGATGGCGAAACGTCTCTTATTATTTTAAAGAAAATGTGTTTCGTTTCAATATATAATAGTGACCTTTGGATTCTAAGACGAGTACGACTACGAGTACGAGATTTTCTCTCTACTAACTGGTGCTCGCGGGTGAGACACCTTCATTTTAGAGGGAAAAACGGTCATAGACGTCGTCATTCTACTACAGGTGTTAGCGAGAATGTTGCAGTGGCGGAAACAAGTTATCAACTGTTAGAAGTTTTGTCATTTTGCGATCAGGAGAGGGCTTAACCTCCTTCAGTGCCAACGTTTCTGGTGAAAAAAGTACACTGAATCTTTCAGGAGTGTCAATTTTTTTTTNAGTTGATCCTAATGCTTAATTTTTGTGAGGAAAAAAATGTCATCTACATGTGTGTGTTCATATAGACAGGAAGACAGAGCAGTTTGGATTTTGTCCAACTAAACCTGCTCGCTTCCGTTCAAAACCAAGACTTCCTTTGACGAATATGGAAGTAATCATGAAAATTAAGTTAAATGTACGGACTGGTCAAATTTTAAGTAAAAGGCGATGAAAACCTTGTAAACTCTAAATCACAACATTGCATAAGCAAATTTTGAAATTAATACTAGCCACCGGGCAGGGATGGCGAAACGTCTCTTATTATTTTAAAGAAAATGTGTTTCGTTTCAATATATAATAGTGACCTTTGGATTCTAAGACGAGTACGACTACGAGTACGAGATTTTCTCTCTACTAACTGGTGCTCGCGGGTGAGACACCTTCATTTTAGAGGGAAAAACGGTCATAGACGTCGTCATTCTACTACAGGTGTTAGCGAGAATGTTGCAGTGGCGGAAACAAGTTATCAACTGTTAGAAGTTTTGTCATTTTGCGATCAGGAGAGGGCTTAACCTCCTTCAGTGCCAACGTTTCTGGTGAAAAAAGTACACTGAATCTTTCAGGAGTGTCAATTTTTTTTTTTTTTTTTAGAATTCGCGAAAAGTCAAATCTCGTCTTCGAATCTACAGGTCTCTATAGATGGTTTTCACTGTGACCTCATCAAATTGTAAATTCAAAATGGCGAGGTTTTACGAATTCTTATTTACGATAGGTTGAAGATAAACAAAAAGTAAACCTTTGTACAAGTTTCCATTTCCGTAGCATGTTTCGTTTCGAAAATACAGCAATTTGAACTTCCGAGTTTTCACAGTGCCGGTGCGTGACACCAAAATAGGAATGCTGTCTCGTTGAAAAAAAGTCTCTCCTCTTGATTTTCAGCAGTATAACCACTTCAAGTATTAGAAGATATGTTTATATATACGTATGCTATGTTGCGTATGTATGTATGTTGATTTCCGGTGGCCATATTGATGCACCAAAACGGTGCACCAATATGGTGTCTCCATACAAAGCTCTACAAAGGTGCGTAAAACGTTTCGGCAAATAACTCACAAACTATGGGCCACAAAGACCTGAGACTTGGACAAATTGTTTATATATTAGTCTTTTAAAACATTTCATTTTCCTGGCTTCTTCCACTGGACGGTTTCCAATTTAACTTTTCGTTGCGTGACAGTGAAAACGATCTATTGTTCAAGGCACGTCACGTCTTAGAATAGCCCATTTTACAGGTTCAGGTGGAAACGAGGCTGGAGTGAACCTTGTTTTGATACAACCCTTCCTGCTTTATTATGCAAATCATATTTTTCTTATTCTAACTTGTATTTTTTAAGCAAAATTTACATTAGAAAAGGGAAGGAGGTTTGTATCAAAACAAGGTTAACCTCACATTCACTAAAAGGCTAGGACACTCAGCCAACAACTGTAAAATGGTCTTAGCACAGTATCACTGACATATGTAATGACGCAACGCAAGTGATTTGATCTTGACCAACAGCTACGGTATTTGCAATAATGATGACAATGTCAAATAAATAAAATAACGATTTAGAAGTAGCGAATCTTTTTAGTGGTTCTTCATCTAACTGATTCCTGGTCGAATCGGTATTTGGAAATGTTGTTTTTGGAGGAAAAGGGAAAATCGAAGTACCCGGAGAAAAACCTCTCGTAGCAAAGGAGAGAAATTACAACACACTCAACCCACATACGCTGAGCCTCAAACTACCTTATCTTCAGCTTAGCAATTGCTGATCTAATCGTTACTTTGGTGTGCGAGCCACTCATTCTGGAGTTCATCAGCAATCTAACATTCTTCCACGGGTGCATAACAAGAATGAAACAACTTGCGTACAACCCCCGGGTGGGGGGGGATATACCCAGAAAAATCGGTAAGGGAGATGGGGCCCGCTCCACCCACCC